AACGCTATACTCGTAACATTAACATTAGTCGTAAGTGCTATCTTAGCATTAACATTAGCATTAACTTTACGATGTTTCTGACAACGGGTCCCCGGTCTATGAAAAAGCTAATGATGAAACTAATGTAAAGACTGACTTTGTTTCTGACAACAGGCCCAGTTTTCTACTCTAAAAACAACTCAAGTAATCGCCCTAATAATCTTAGCGAAAACAATATGTAATGGGCGATTTTTCTGTTAATATAAGTTGGAAATAGATCAACCGAACAAAATAGAGAAATACAGGTTACTGTTGATTACTATATATTATAGTAGCGGGAGACAGCGGTGCCTTATTTCCCCAGTTTTTCTGGTCCTGTTTACCTATAGACATCTAACGGTAGGGTTGATATTTTGATGTGCGTAAATACTTTATAATATGATGATAAAAGGTATACATTCATATAAAAATATTTGGGTTAAGCGCATTCTTTTCACTGATATACCCTATGTATGTTATGTATATTATGGTTATATTGTAGCAACAGTTCCAGATATACTGCGCGCACCAGAGAGTGACAAATACACCCATTAGAAGGCATACACACACCGCACACACTCACGCACTCACTGACACGTACGCACACACACACATACACGTACGCACACACACACACACACACACACACGCACACGCACACACACACACACGTACGCACACACACACNAGAGAGAGAGAGAGAGAGAGAGAGAGAGAGAGAGAGAGAGAGAGAGAGAGAGAGAGAGAGACACACACACGTGTTGCTCAGTATACGCGCGCGGACTTACGTCATGTCATTCACTATAGGAGAGGGAAGGAAGAAGGGGTCCACATCGCTGCGCCAGCCATATCGATCTATCGATCTATCGATGTACAGAAGCAGACGCCGAATTTCAATGAGCCCGCTCTCGCTACGAACCGCCTCCCGTGACGTCATGCGTATCCGTTAATGACGCGCTCTCGTTTTCTCTCCCCGCTGCCGCTAGATGGAGCTGACGAAGCAGATCTCCGGTCTCGTCATTGTCCTGCTGTGCGTTCTGTTGCCGATGACGTCAGCGCTGGAATCAAGGTAGGTCTGGACTGGCACCGCTCGCCCCGCGTGGAGACCGCGGGGAGGGCGGATGGGTGTGGAGGGGGCAGTCTATTAGACGAGTCGCGTTAATTGAATGATTATGCGTGTTAATGTATAATTGACGGTAACTTCGTTACGGTGGCTAATTATACGATTTACGTTAATTACATCACAGGCTATTATTATTATTAGAAGGCTTGAAATCGAGAGAGAGAGAGAGAGAGAGACNTCTCTCTCTCTCCTTCTCTCCCCTCGCTCTTTCTCCCGGTGTAATTTTGCAAGCGTGTTTTCTTTTGCTCTGCGACGCGTTGCGTAATTCAATTATAGAAGCCGAGCAAATTATACGCGCAACTAAATACCGACGGGGAAGCAGTTACAGAGAGGTAGAGAGAGGGGGAGAGGGGGAGAGGGGAAAGGGGGAGAGAGAGGTGAGAGAGAGAGAGAGAGAGAGAGCGCGAGAGAGATAGAGAGAGAGCGGGAGGTGAGATAGAGAGGGAGGGGAGAAAGAAAAAGAGAGAGAGAATAGAGAGAGAGAGGAGAGAGAGTATTGAGTGGGAGGGTGAGATAGAGAGGGAGGGGAG